CCTGGAGTTCAGCCATCCAGTGGCCAATTTCCTCACCAATTGCCCCCAGCCAAATTCCTCTTAGCGTTCAGACTCTCCTTCTCTTCTCTCTGCCACACCATTCTGCCGTTCTTCTGCTCTTCTGTTCATCTCCTTTTCATCTGCTTCTGGAGCCTATGGTCTGAGGTTTAAATGGGTATAGGAGAGAGGGGTGTGGACAACCCTCTTTGGGTGTGAAAATAGGAATGTGTGTTCTCATTTAGAATCACACTTTTGGGTGTGAAAATAGATATGCATGTTCTCATTTAAAGCCACAGGTTTCCAGGCTTGAGGGTGGGACCTTTGCCAGGGAACTGCCCTCTTCTACCAAGTATTTCCCTGTCTCCTAATCATATCATCTCCCCTCTCCGAAGAGGCACATCTAACTATCATTAGAATAGGGACAGTGACCAGTTTAGCTTATTTTTGCTGACAGGGGGTATTGTTTTAGGGAAAATGCAGTCAGATTCCTCCCAGAGATTTATCTAAGGATCCCTGCCAAAGAGAGCCATTGTCCAAGGTTCCAGTTGCCTGACCATTTGGAGTTTGATAGCCTCTAGGTGAGAGGAAAAAAAAAAGTTTTATAAGGTTAAGTATGCATGGGTTAAACATGTGTTTTGTACAAGGAAATAATATAGTGCCAAAGATCACAGAAATAACAAGTGAAAATACTAACAACATTGTGCTTCGAGCTGTTTCACCCTGGTGAAAGAAATTAAACCTTGTATGGGAGTGGTTCAACTTTAGAAGAGATTTAATTGTTCTTGTCACATCTGTAGCAGTTAACACGTATACCCTGGGAATTCTGGTGTTTGTGGGCTTACATGGTGGCCATTAAAGCTTCTGCCTCTTTCTTGCATCCCCTTATCTCTATTGTAAAAGGCCAAGGTGGTCACTTTCAATTAGCCCTCTAAAGCACTGTCTGGTCCCAGGGCCCATTTCAGCAACTTCCTCCTGATATCAGGGGCTGCCTGAGTAATAAATTCAGTCTTCAGAATTAGTTGTCCCTCAACTGAATCAGAAAATAGAGAGGTGTGATTTACCAAGGATCCTCTTACCCTTTCCAAGAAGACAGTGGAATTTTCATTTAATTCCTGGTCTGTCATAGTTAGCTTGCTATAATTGAGAGGCTTGGTCCTAGTCCTGTGTAAGCCCTCCATTATGCACACCTGAAAGTGTCTCTTCTTCCAGTCCCCCATCTCATCATCGGGATCCCATCCAGGGTCATTTACTGGTACTGCTTCTCTTCCAGTTGGATAGAGTTTGCCTCCTTTCCTGACACTATATTTGATAGAAAGCTCATCCCCAAATCTTCCCGTTACTTGAAGAACAGCCTGCTTTTCATTGTTCATCAGGGTCTGATTCAAAAGTAACACAACATCTCTCCAAGAGAGTTCAAATACTTGGGTTAAATTCTGGAAAGCCTCTATATACCTGTCAGGATCATGTGAAAACTTGCCAAAATCCCCCTTAATTTACTTTAAGTCCAGCAGGGAGAAGGGGACCTGGACCTTACTGGGGCCAAATTCACCAGGCATCTGTTGGAAGGGCAGGAATGAAATGGGCTTGTCTAGGGCAAGGATTTCCAGGAGGGGCAAGCGAGAGACTGAAGCTAGATAGAGAGGTTGAGGTGGACCTGGAAGAGCAGAGCTGGAGGGAGCTGGCTCCTCTGTTGGGAGTGCCTCTGGGATTTGTTTCTTTAGTTCCCTGGGATTGCCCTTTTCAGTCTCCACTGAAATGACAAGCAGGAGGGCTGGATCGATCCTACACTGTTGGCAAAGGTCTGGATTTCCCTGCAAGGTATAGAAAGCCTGCACATATGGGGCTTCAGACCATTTGTCCTCACGCCTACAGAAAAGGTCCAGCTGCCAAATGGTATCAAAATGAATGGTTCCTTCCTGAGGCCAAGACAGGAATAATTTGGCCAAATCTTTGTTCAGAGGGCTATGAGGCGTTTTTCCTCCAGATTCTGAGGGTCAAAGCAGTCTCAGTGGCTCAGGATGCACTCCAGAGGAGAATAAGCTGGGGGTGATGAAGGGATCTGGTTGCCCATTCTGAAAGACAGGGAAATAGAAGCATCCCTCATTTCCCTTCCTTCTTTCTGTGAAAAATCAGGGTGTGAGGGAGAGAGAAAGCGAGAGACTTTCTCTTCCATCTTTTTGTCCCCAAGTCCTGGCAACCTTAGATGGATGCCACCCAAAGGTGCCATTGTAGTCTGCACCCGTGAAGCAGGGGGGCCTAGAGAATAGGAATTATCTGCCCTTTTTCTCTGCTGTTGAAATGCCTCTATTTTCCCTGCTGTTGAAAACTTTTGAGTTCCCTGGGCCTCATTTATGCCATGGAGCATGGCCTCCCTCCACGAAATGGGGGGTTTAGTCAGCGGGAATTGGTCAGGCCATTTACATTGTGCCTGTTCAGCTTTTGATCCCTCATATCGGGTTTTCCTTTCTAGGGCCTCAGCCTGAGACTTGGAATTGAGTTTGGGACGAAAATGTATTTCAGGGGTTGCATGTGTCTGTTTAGATAGTCTCAAATGGGTCCTGCCAAATTTGCAATTATCAGCCAGCAGGGGTCGCTCCTCCATTATTTTCCCTGTCGGAAGCTGTGTACTGGGGACAGGAACGCTCTCACTTAGAAAAGGAAAAAAAGAAAAGAAAGAAAAAAACAGCTTAAGGAGTAAAAGGGGGGAGGCCCTGGGGGAAATAACTTCTTGCTCTGCACAAATAGATTCCTTTAATCATTGTAGACCACCCCATCAGTGCAGGCCACGCTGAACTCCTTGGCCAAGGAAGAAAAAGTTCCACTGGGAGGCGCTGGCCAACGGGTTCACGGGGCACCAGTGGCAGCCCCATTTTTTCCCACCCCTTGTGGCTGTTGGACATGGCTTGTACATGCTGTGGACACAGCCAGGTACCAAGCTGGGAAGGGAGGGGATAAGGAGGGGAGGTGCTGTGCACTGCTCATGCCTGTAGTTATCAGAGTGGGGTTGGGATGGCACCACAAAGAAAAAATGGAAATCACGTTGTTCTCAATTGCACCTTTGATGACTGCGCCAAATGCTCATTCTATTTAATACATTGCTTAATGCATAGGAAGTTTTCATTTGGGAATATAAAAAAAGTTCTGGAGATAAATGATAATGATAGTTGCCCAAAAATATAAATGTACTAAATGCCACTGAAGCATACCCTTAAAAATAAGTAAAGTGGTATATTTTATATTACATATATGACCACAATTAAAATAATCAAAAAGAAGATAACAAAATGGAAAACAAGCATCTGTTATCTCAAAATCTCAACTGCCATTATTTCCTTCTTAACAATTTCTACAACTACCCAGTGCCAAGACCTGACCCACCCTCCTGATAGCTAAGACCTCTGGTAAGTCCCCACGGCTTTATTCATGCAATTGAATCTTGTACTACTATAATCTGGCCAGTGTCACCCAGAGAACCCAGTGTCATAGCCATCTCACTTGCACCTCTACAAGTTAGGCCCCCTGCTCCCTGACCTGGAGTGCTTTCCGTCTCCGCTCCATTCCTAAAAACACCCACCACCAATGCAAAGCCCACCTCATCCATAGATCATTCCCCAGCACTTCGTACTCATTCAATATAAGATCAAGGGAGGTGGCTAGGAACGTAGCGCATGCGTGTAGTCCCAGTACTTTGGGAGGCTGAGGCAAGTGGATCATGAGGTCAAGAGTTCAAGACCAGCCTGGCCAAGTTGGTGAAACCACATCTCTACTAAAAATACAAAATTAGCCGGTACAGTGGCAGGCGCCTGTAATCCCAGCTACTCAGGAGGCTGAGACAGGAGAATCACTTGAACCTGGTGTGGTAGAGATTGCAGTGAGCCGAGATTGTGCCACTGCACTTCAGCCTGGGTGACAGAGTGAGACTCCATCTCAAAAAAGAAAAAAAAAAAAAGATCAGGGGAAGAAGAGTGGTCACTTTGGTACCTGGAAAGTCCAGGCCAAATCCAGGGTCTTGAGGCCTCTGCAGTACACGGTGGTGGGAAGGTCACCTACATCACCTGTGCTTCTGTCCTCCACCATTAATAAAAATGAAGATAACCACACCTCCTTATAGATGGCAAGATATTAAATATGATGACTTCAGTAAAATGGCAACCCAGTGCTCAGAGGCAATAGACTGTCAACTCATTTTAGCTCTCCTCCCTTTGAAAGCCTTGTATAGTAGTGGTTCTGAATCTGCTCCATGCATTTGAATCACCTGGGCAGCATTTACAAATTACAATGGAAGGAGCCCACCCCAGACAAATTAAGTCAGAAAGTCTAGCTGGAGCCAGGAGCCAGGGCTCTACAGGCAGGGAACACTAGAGATAACACTGGCAGTTCTTGCTGTCAGTCCCATGCAGTCCCACCCTGCTTACTCCGAATCCATAGTGTTGTCTGTTTCACTGTGAAAACTCTTCCTCCCCTGATCTTTCTTTTTTTTTCTTTTTTTGAGATGGAGTCTCACTCTGTCACCCAGGCTGAAGTGCAGTGGCACGATCTCGACTCACTGCAATCTCTGCCACACTGGGTTCAAGCGATTCTCCTGTCTCAGCCTCTGGAGTAGCTGGGATTACAGGCGCCTGCCACGGCGCTGGCTCATCTCCTTGACAATTATTGTATGTAATAGGTATGAACTATATATGTATTTTACACATAGTCATACAAAATAAAAAGTAAAATGAAAATAGCAACTTTAATTAAAGGGCTCATCCCACTGATTCTAAGACCAGGGCATGGCAAGAGAGGAGCCAATGTAAGGAGATCTGTCTCAGAATCCTGCAAGGCCTAACACTGTACCTGCCCAACCCTGAAATTCAGCACTTCCTTTAAAATCATGCCCTAGGTGCCTCCGTTGCCTAACCCTACTTCAGCCTCAGGATCCCACGGGCAGGTGGCAGCCACCAACTATGCACTGAAGGCCTCTGTGTGAATTCCAAACTGAATGCTAAGGGTTCACTTACTTGTGGAACTGGTTTAATAGGTTTTTCCATCAAGCCCCCAACATAAACAGTGTTGGGAAGCAGGGGCCGGGCAAAATCAAAGGCAAAGTCAGAGTTAACGAACCACAGCTCTGCTTTCCGTAGAAGATGAGACAAAACCGGCCTAGAGCCTTCTGTGAAATGCTCCTTGATGGTGTTGTCAAATGTAGAGTGTATGCGCCATTGGATCGTGGAGAAACTAAAGAACATCAGAACATTCTTCACTCGGCCCCAGAAGTCCATGTGATCAGTCAGCAAGGAATGGAATACTGGAACATAAGACAAAGGGCTTGGTAGCCCAAATTCCAAAGGGCCAAAGGATGTGGGAAGAATGGCCACAAATGTCTTCTCAAGCTTCTCAGCAATCAGGAAAGAACAGAAATCAAATCCTTCAACAAATACCAGATCAAAGTTCTCATTATTTAAGGAATCCATTATGTCCTTTCTGCTTAGCAAATAACTACATTGAGTCCCAAATATTTCCATTAACTGTACAAGGCCTTCAGATTCTTTTCTGTAATAAAGAAAATAATTAATAAATATTTGGGAAGGTATAATTCTACAGTATTTGGGAGAATGTTAGACTCAAAAAAGTAGTTCAGGTATGTAAGATTATAATCAGTATCCATCCACTCATTCTACAATGTTTCAAGAAATACTCTCAGCTCTGGTCACTCTGTTCCAGATATTTCTGCTCTCTAAAATGTTCCCACTTGCTCCCATTCTATTTCCTTCCCTGGCCCAATCCCCACCCACCATTAATGCCAATTCAGCATCCTTCTGCTCTGGGAGCTATCTCTGACTGTAACAGATCTCAGAGTTTTTTGTCTTTTTTATAAATCCTGTGATGCTCTGTTAACCCTCATTTATATACTGACTTTTTATGAGTGACTATCTTTTCTCTAGAAATCTACGTAAGTAATTTACAGTTTCCTTAAATATTGATGATGTAGTCTTTTTAAAAATGCTGTATATCTTGCATTTGACAGATTGTCTTATGCAATGAACTTTTTGATGACAATATTAGAATCCAAAATCTCAGCTGAAATGAGATTCATCTTGCCAGCCTAGGAGTTAAGCAGTGAAAAATAAATAAAAATAAAAGCCTGGTTTGAAGTTTATTATCAGTCTTTTCACTTTATGCTGGCTGGAACATTCATATAAAATAATGCTAAAGTTTTACTGACACCTAGTTGAGAATTTTACCTATGGCACTATTCCAGAAGCTATTGCCCTTCAATGTCTTCTCATTGTTGCTTGCATAGAAAATGATCCTATGCAATGTCTTCCCATCATTGCTTGCATGTATAAAATGATAGAATGCATAGAATACAGGAGAATAGATGAAGAATTTCATGAGCAGTGGTGCTAGGTACAGGTACTCTGGAGACCACAGACCTCCTAGCCACATGAAGAATGGAAAGAAGCAATAGCCCAGCAATTCTGTAACCCATACACCACCATGCCATGTCACTTCACATAAAAAAGGCCTACAGGTGGGTGGGGTACTAGGGGAGGGATAGCAGGGGGTGAGAAGGTTGGGGAGGGATAACATTAGGAGAAATACCTAATGTAAGTGACAGGGGAATGGAGGCAACAAGCCACCGTGGCGTGTGTATACCTATGTAACAATCCTGCAAGATCTGCACATGTACGCCAGAAATTAAAGTAACATTTTTTTTTAAAAAAAAAGAAGGCCTACAGGTTTACAGCTTGAGAACTCATGAGTGATGTGCAGATCTCTGCCTGTTCTTTAGAATCAACTTTAAATTACAACAAGAGTGATTCTCTGAAATTACCTGCTACTTCATTTCTTAAAATAATTTAAATATAGAATGATTTTTAAATACTGTGGATAAAAGGATAAATTGAATATATCCAGGATAAACTTCTCAAAAGTGTAATATTAATCATATTTCAAGTAAATAAACTGAAAAAAAAATCACAGGAAAGCAATGATCCCAGTAACTTAGACCATATTTAACATGTCTGTGGAAACAGTCTTCAGAGAAATCAGGCTAAAGAGAAAAGACAAGACATATCCTTTAAAAATATATAAATAACAACACAAGGTGCCATAGACTAAGTATCAAATGAGTGCTATATGACAGACCTATAGAGGAGAGAATGTGGTCTTCCAGCTGGAGTGAGGAAGCAAGAGTTATGGAATAATTAGATTTGAGCACCACCTTGACTATTGAGTAGAATTTTCAGGGAAGAAAAGAGAATGAAGCCACTGTAATTAACTAAGAGAGGCATGGATTTGTGTTTCTCCTCTTTTATGTGGCAGATGGAGATTCTTTGTATTCCAGATGAGGGCAAAATGTCTCAGGCTCATCTCTCATTGTGTATCAACAGGGTATGTGATTGTTCTTAAGAAGTTTAAAAGGTGAAGTTTCAAGGTGTGAAAAAATCAATGTTCATAAGAGTTTTCTCCATTAATGAATCTATGAGAGGCAAAGGAGGGGAAATAAGTGAGAAGAGGTGTTTCTTTTTTCTTGACAAACAGTACAGTTGAAGATCCTAGCTTCTTTGTTGGGGAGAATACATACAAAGATTATAGGTGAAGTGTCGTAAGGAAGGCTCAGAGGAACAATCTACCACTTTCTATAGAACCCTTATGATGGAAAAAGGACAATACAGACTCAATTGTTGGGAATGCAAACCTTGATTGCTCTATCCACCCAACTATTCACCTGTCCTCTATTTCTCCATCCCCTCATTTATCCAACCATCCATTCATCTATCCATTCATCCACTCACACATCATCTATTCCTCTATCTATCCATCACCCACCCATCCATTTCTCTAAAACTCACTCCAAATACCATGCATCTCTCTATTCATTTGTATCACTAAAATAGTGACTCTGGTTCATAGAATAAAAAGAAATTACCTGCCATCCAATGCTTTTTCTATGTAGTTATTGAAACGATCCTTAATTATTTTTTGATAATCGTCAGGAGGAAACCACCTGATAACTTGGTATGATTTTTCCTTGTCTTTAGTATCTAAGAAAACAACAATTGGTTAAAAAGGTAAACATATCATACAACATGGATTAACATTAGTATGGTGACATTAAAGTTTTATTCCATTAATTTTACATTTATGGAAATGTTTACTTTTAAAGTTTTATGTTGCTTTGGTTTTGTTTTACTTTTTCATTCATTCAACTGGACAACCTGATAATATTTATTGAGACTTTATAATTATCTAGGCACCTTTATTCAATTTAAAGTTATAAAAGTTTCCACTTAAAACTTTCATTTAAAGAAACAGCTATTACACTTGTTTTATAGGTAAGACAACAGAGGCTAATGCAGTGTGAGATAATGTGTCCACTTTGCACACATAATGAGCTATAGGGCTTGTGTTTAAATATGGCTAAGGTTGATTTCAGAGCCCATTCTCCTTTCTCTTTTAGAAAAACTCATTTTCATTACTTAAAATGATACCTACAAATAGGTTTATATTCAGTCAAAAAGTTCTAAAAGGCAAAATAAAAAAAAAAAATAGTAGTCCCCTTTATTCTACTTGCCAGCCCTGCCCCCACTCCCCCCATAACCCACGTGTAGTAAAAAGTCTGACTGCATTCTTGGAGTCTGATTGCTGACTGTTTTCCAAACCCAGCTCCTACTTTACTTTCTGTGCCTCATCTGGGCAAACTGAGAACAAAGCTTCAACTCATTCTACCTTGTTACCAGTGAGAACTTCAAACCAAGCAAACCAGTCCAAAGTGGAAGAATTCTCACCTCAATTCAAGTTTCAATCAGAAGTTTCAGTAATTTTCACTGTGAGACAGGAATGACAAATTGGGACCCTCCTTTCAGTGGCTCTGGGTCATGTGACTCAAACCAAAGTTATCTGTATGTCTCAGATGGAATTGTGTTTCTCAATTACAGCATGAGCTGTGGTTGACACTAGCTCAGTGGAATAACTCTTACCCTATGAGCACTGGTTATGTGTCTCAATTAGATATTACCCCCCCCCCACTCAACACACACACACACACACACACACACACACACACACACACACACATCATTGTAAAGAGCACTCACGGTTAAGACTGACATCAGTGCAATATATGATCCCACTGAATGGTATGAAGAATGGTAGTCATTGTGTGGCATGCTCACATCCACACTCCTAAAAGTAGATGGTCCACTGAGACCTCAGAAAATGCCTTTGCTACTCCTGCTGATTATACCTGTATAGTTAAAAATGATCCTGATAAACAGAGTTACATGGAAGAGCACCCATACAACACTGTACAGCCAAGGAGTGCATTCAAACTCAATTTAAGACTTGGGTCTCTCAAAATTACCATAAAGAAATTCTCTCACCTTGCTGATACTGATGGAAACTCTCTCAGAAAGAAACTTACAAAGATGAGTGTGTTAGAAAGGACACTCACCCACCACCACCAAAGTATACCTGATAACAACCAAAAAGAGAAAGAGAGAATTAGGTTAGCCAGAAGAGGTGGTGAGGGGAGCAGGTGAGATTCAAGAACAAAAACTAAAACAAAGGTTTAAAATTTTTTTTTGAGATGGAGTCTCGCTCTGTTGCCCAGGCTGGAGTGCAATGGCGTGATCTCAGCTCACTGCAACCCGCGCCTCCCAGGTTCAAGCGATTGTCCTGCCTCAGCCTCCTGAGTAGCTGGGATCACAGGCATGCACCACCACACCTGACTAATTTTTGTATTTTTAGTAGAGACGGGGTTTCATCATGTTGGTCAGGCATGTCTCAAACTCCTGACCTTGTGATCCACCCACCTCAGCCTCTCAAAGTGCTTTAAAATTTAACCCTATGGAAATCTAACATTTATTTTTACAGAAAAATTAAAAGGACACTGATTGGCTATTTTCTCTCCACATCATAGGTTCTAGATTAACAACAGATCAAATGCACCAATGTCAACTGTAATAGCCTTAATCAACAATGGGGTAAAAGTTGCAGGTATATCAGAATATTTCACTAAATTTAAGTAATATCACTTCTGTACTCTTAAGGATTTACCCAATATAATATAGATATTATTATACATATGTCCCATCTTAAGCACTGGTACTAAATTCCTGTATTAGCCTGTTTTCATGCTGCTGATAAAGACATACTTGAGACTGGGTAATTTATACAGGAAAAAGGATTTAATGGACTTATAATTCCACATGACTGAGGATGCCTCACAATCACGGCAGAAGGCATGGAGGAGCAAGTCATGTCTTACTTGGATGGCAGCAGGCAAAGAGAGAAAGCTTGTGCAGGGAAACTCCCCCTTATTAAACCATCAGATCTCATGATACTTATTCACTATCACAAGAACAGCACAGGAAAGACCTGTCCCCATGATTCAATTACCTCCCATCAGATCCCTCCCACAACACGTGGGAATTCAAGATAAGATTTAGGTGGGGACACAGCCAAACCATATCAATACTCCATAGTCTTAAGACTCATTTCCTAAAATATTCCATTCTATTCTAGGCATGGCTACTCTTATCTAACAATTAATAAACTAACATAAAATTATTTCTTTAGAATTGGCTTGACAAAAAGGGATGCCATGGATCTGATTCAACAGATTAAAATTATTAGCACTGCCCAAAATAGATTTAAATGGGGCCTTTAAGGATTAAACTCCATTATAAAAGATCTATTTAGAAAAGTGTTGATCGTCTCCATTCTTTCTCCCTTTAAAAGCCCAATCTGGACTATTTTTAAACCTAGCAAGAACTAATGATGCCTCACATTTTACTATAGCCTTAATTCCAGGGATCATCACATTTAGAACCTCATACCCATGGTTATTAAAAACTGCTTAATATATTTGAATACTAACAAATAGTTCGCAATCATATATTTGATAAATATGCTTCATTCAATGCCTATCTCAATAGGATCTCAGTCAGTTTCCCTTTTTCTTTATCATTAAAAGGCCATAAATCACCTGTAACTGGCTAACTATGGGGTACCTCAATATCCTGGCCCACAATAACAGGCAGCAAGACTATCACCATATCCAACTTTTCCTAGGAGCAGTCATGACATTCAATGAGGACATCCTCCTTGGAGAAGACTCATCCAGCACAATTATTCAAGACATACATAGGGTGCACTTATTCAAGACATACTATATATATAAAATAACTCACGACAAGGGATATGTCATTGCCACATACAAAGTAGAAGGCGTGGAGGACAGATCCAAGATGGCCGATTAGGAGCAGCTCAGGATTGCAATTGCAGCTCCCAGTGAAAGCGCGGAGGGTGAGTGGACACCGCATTTCCAGATTGATTTTTATTACCCACAGACCAGGAGATTCCCAGGTGGAGGAGCCCCATGGGTCACCCATGTGGCTGTTCTGGCCAGCAAGGCTGTTTTGGCTGATGCGACAGTTCTCTGCACAAAATACACGGGCCCAGGCACCATTTTTACTGGTGATTGGAGCTCCTGGGATATACAGTCACCCATTCAACTGATTTAAAAAAAAAAAAAGGGGGGAGTGAAACAGGGAGCCAGGCCAGGAGATTCCCGGGCAAAGAAGCACCACAAACCTCAGCACAGCTGTTTCAGCTGGCGCAGTGTGTCACTGCACAGGAAATCAAACAGATCCTGGTGCCTTTTCAACTGGTGACTGGAACACCTGGAAAACAGAGTCACCCATTCAACTAAAAAAAAAGGGATCTGAGGCAGGGAGCCAGGTGATCAGGCTCAGCTGGTCCCAACCCCACAAAAAAACAGCAATCTGAAACGCTCTGGATTAAGAGTTTCACAGCAAGCACAGCTGAACCCGGGACGGTCCAGCTCTGTGGGGGAGGGGCATCCACCATTACTGAGGCAGTCCACCACTACGGAGGTAGTCCAACATTGCTGAGGCAGCCTGCCATAGCTGAGGCAGCCTGCCATTACAGAGATAGTCCGCCATTATACAGGTGGGCCACCATTGCCAAGGCAGTTCTAACTATACCCATATAAAGAGGACTGCAGGGAAGTTCATGTGGCAGCTGGGTGGAGCCCACAGCTGCTCACCAAAGCCTCTGCAGGCAGTCAGTGATGAGGCTGCCTCCTGGCTCGGCAGGGCATCCCTAAGAAAAGCCAACAGCACAACAGAAACTCATAAATAAAGTCTTAAATCCCCAGGACAGAGCACCTGGGAAAACAAAAAAAGGGGTTTATGAGTTCTGCTGCAACAGACTTAAATGTACCTGCCCAGCAACTCTGAATGAACAACGGAGCTCATAGCTCAGCACATGAGCACCTACAAAGGACACACTGTCTCCTCAAGCAGCTCCCTGACCCCCATATATCCAAAGAGTCACCTCATAAAGGAGAGCTCAAACTGATGTCTGGCGGGTATCCCTCTGGGACAAAGATAGCAGAAGAAGAAATTGGCAGCAATCCTTACTGCTCTGTAGCAGCTGCAGGTGATCCCCAGGCAAGCAGGGCCTGGAGGGGACCTCAGCAGTCCTATAGGAGAGGGTCCTGAATGTTAGAAGGAAAACTAAGAAATAACTTCATCATCAACAAACCAGATGTCCACTCAGAGACCCGATCTGAAAGTCAACAACTACAAAGACGACAGGTGGATAAATCCACAAAGATGGGAAGAAACCAGCACAAAAAGGATGAAAACACCTAAAACCAGAATGCCTCTCCTCCTACAAGGGATCACAACTCCTCACCAGCAAGGGAACAAGGCTGGATGGAGAATGAGTGTGATGAATTGACAGAATCAGGCTTCAGAAGGTGGGTAATAAGAAACTTCTGTGAGCTAAAAGAACATGTTCTAACCCAATGCAAAGAAACTAAGAACACTGAAAAAGATTTGACGAAATGCTAACGGGAATAAACAACTTAGAGAGGAATATAAGTGATTTGATGGAGTTGAAAAACACAACACGAGAACTTCGCGAAGCATGCACAAGTTTCAACTGCCAAATTGACCAAGCAGAAGAAAGGATATCAGAGGTCGAATATCAAGTCAATGAAATAAAATGAGAA